TCTTGGGCTCCAGAGGGTATTTCCCGAAATCAGATGCCAGGGGAAGTTCCTGAGCCTCCAGCCCTTGTGTTTGGACGTGATGGTGTGTATCATTGTCAGCTTACCTGTAAGGATGGGACGGTATGCAATGCTGTTCTTCCCGATCGGCGTGCGGTTCGCACACACACATTGTTGCACGACATGGTCATCGTATGGTTGCTCATAGTATTGCTCTTAGTAACCAGTGTCCCGTGTGCAGGACCATATTCAGCTCTCAGGTTACGTGTCGACGTCATCTTGTGTTGTCGTGCGCTCGGGGGTTCTGCAAACCAAATGCGTCTCGAAACTTAGTTCCGTTGGCAGTCCCCTCGACTTTGCAGTGCCCGCTGTGTGATGTGGCCACGGGCTCGTTTCAGGATCTGCAGAAGCACCTGATTTCTCACTTACACACTTCCCCGCTTCCTGGTCCGTCTTTTGTTGCAGATGGAGGGCGCCCCGGCCTGGATGGCCAAGGTCACGAAGCCCGCGGACGACCAGGGAGGCGACAAAAAGTCCAAGGTCATCGCGGAGGCCCGTTCCAAAGGAGGCGACATTCTGCGCCAGCTGGTGGCGATCCTCGTCAAGCTGAGTTTGGCCAACAGCGCTGAGCTCCGCAACGTGTGCGGAGTCGTGTGCATCACTTCCCTATCAAGTCCGACCAGCCCTCGATGCAGGCGTCGCGCCAGGCAGGTCAGAGTTACCACGCCGAGGTACAGCGCCGCAAGACCGAGGGCGAGGACCTGGACTCGCTCGGCCCGCCGTACGTCCAGATCTGGTGCGCCCTTATCAAGGCCATCGGGAACGACCCCAACTGCCCCGTAGAGGTCCGCCAGAGCATCGAGCAGTACTGGAAGGAGGTTATGGTGCCCATGCCGCTGGAGCGCGTCGGCGAACACGTTGGCCACTGCCGCGTGCGCCAGACACGAACGGTCGAGTCGAAGGCCGACCGGATGCGCCTGACGTTCGCCGTGGACGGCGAGTTCAAGTCGCTGGAGAGGACGCTGATCCAGTACTTCTCGTCGTCGGCGGCGGTCGGAGGCGAGCGCAAGCTGAGCCCTGCTCCCCGTGGCGCGCTCGAGCGCGAGGCGCCCCGTCTCTTGGAGAAGATGGGAGAGGGTAAGCCGCAGAAGGAGAAGAAGGAGAAGGAGGAGGCCTTAACGTGTCTTCTGGAGCATTGAATGGATTGGCTCTCAATCTTCTGGAGTATTGCCGCAGCAGGAGAATTTGATTGGCACAGCATCGTCTTCTGGAGTATTGGGGCCAGCAGCGACTTCGACTAGCTCAGTGTATTCTGGAGTATTGCCTTCCACAGAATTGATTGGCGGTCAGTTTTCTGGAGCATTGGCTTCTGAGAGTGCGATTGGCTCGCAGTCTTCTGGAGTATTACTCGATGAGAATGTGATTGGCTCGTCGTCTTCTGGAGTACTGCATGTCCCTGAAGACTGTGCTGGACAATCTGCTGATGTACTTGGTGACGCTGTTCCGCCACCAGGTGTGCCTGTTCGAGGCTCCGCTCCAGTAGCGTTCCCGATTTCTGAGGCCAGTAGCTCGTTTGAAAATAGAGGGGGGAGGGGGGGTTCCTGGGCCCGTCAGTGCTGCTTCGCCGAGAGCCCCCCTGCCCCCGAACTTAGCGTGTAGTCAGCGTCTCGCCGAGTTAGTCGCTCGATGTTGTTTCCGCCCGCACCCTCCTCCTCGTCATGAGCCTCCGCCTCCTCCTGGTTTGCGACCGATTCGCGAGCTCTCGGATTCCTTTTTGTGCCGATGCCTCGACGCCCTCGTCGTTCGAGGCCCTCTCGGCCGCCGTAAGTAGTTTGGGACTGTGCGGAGTGGTGCCCATCACCCCCCTGCTGGCATCACCCAGCCAACGGGCGGGTCGAGGGCCTCAGGTGGTGTTTCCATCAGCAGCGCTCGCCGGTGAGGGAAGTTGCGGATTTTGCCGCCACTCCGATGCTACTTGTTATCGCCGCTGCCGTCGGACAGTGGGCAGCATCCGAGAGTTCTTGCTTGCTTGCTCCTCCTGCTCATCTTCCTTCCCATCCCCCTCCTCCTCCTCCTCCTCCTCCTTCTCCTCCTCCTCCTCCTCCTCCTCCTCCTCCTCCTCCTCCTCCTCCTTCTCCTCTCGTTATGCTCCTCCTTCTCCTCCTCCTGCTCCTCCTCCTCCTCCTCCTCCGCTCGCGCGGACCTCCGAGTTTGTTTGTTTATGCCATTATTCGTTCCCTTATTTTGTGCTGCGTACCCCCAGGGCCGCGCGATCACGCTTGGACCCCGTGTCCTCCCTGTTTCCCGCTCCAGTTGAGCTAGGCCCTGGTCGTCTGGTGGCTCGCCCGCGCGGAGATGTCATCGTCCTGGGCCGTTCGTCTTCGCTCGTCGGCCACCTCGCGACAGCACGCGTGGTCGCTGTCCTGCTTCTGTGCCTGACTTTGCCTTTGGGTCGTCCTTCGCGCCGCTTGCGCACGCAAGCCCTGGCGTCGCGGCCCCTTGGGGTCAGCGCTTCCAGCCCGCGCCCATGGCCGCTTACGACGTCCTTTCCCTGCCGAGTTGGCAAGTGCTCTGGCGCACACGCGCAGAACGTCATGTTCCGAGCGCGCTCCGCCGCCTGCGGTTTCCTCGCTCCCCGTATTCGTTCTTCCCGTTCCCGGCCGTGCCCAATTAGGCCTTGCAGTGCCCCTCGGTCGTTTCCGATCGCGGTTCGGCGCCAACCGTTACGAGAAAACAAATATTGCAACGTCTTCCGAATCAGGCTGTTCGAGGGACCGAACAGCGGCTCGGGCGCGACCGTGCCACAAGACGCAACCCCTAACTGTCCGCTCGCAGCCGGATACAAACAGAGGCCAGCGCTCAATAATCCCCCTAAGATATTTTTTGGGGATGGGCATGTTTATCAGCCGTCTTGCTGCCCCGAATGCGCCAAACATCCTGGCCCGCTTAAGCATTGCACTCAGTTTGGTGGCCTTGCATTTAACAAACCGAGGTGTTCTTCCCTTTATGTCGGTCCACAAACCAGTAACATTATGACGCCTTGGGCTATCGAGCAAAAGCACCGTGCCAGCATGTTGCGCGCACGCGACCGCCATTGAGCTGATGCAACAAACTTCGAGGGGGTGTCCAGCATTCCATTATTAGAAGCGGCTTAGCATGTAGAGCGGATAGTACCTATTATCCGCACCGTGTTACGTGGGACGGGGCGGGCCACAAAGGAATTACACCACGCATTGATGTGATCAGGTTGTCAGCAGGGTCGATGGACACCACTGCCCACCCCCAAGTGCTGAGCCCTCCATGGGCTGTGAAATCTCTTCCGTAAGCGAAGACCTGTCCCGAAAAAAAACACCCAGGAACCATTCCCACGAACCTCAGCAAATTCGTTTTCTGGGGTGTCGTGATGATGAAATTCATGATTCGGCGACGGCCAGATACAGCGAGAGAACACGTCGCCAACGTATTCATCGATCACACAAACGAAACTAGCAACTTGTGTAGCATGGGGATGGAGGGGATCACGTCGAACCTCAAACGGCTTGGGGCAAGAGGGACATCGACGGAGGAGGGTGCCTTGAGCGCCGCAGTGTGCACACCGATCGTACAGAGCATGGCCGTGAAAGTGCGAACGCGCTTGGGTTCAATGCTTGCCTCCAACAGAAGACGTGGCAGCCGCGCGCATCTGAGCCAGCCATTCTTCTGCGCGTGTCCTGGCGAGCACCGCGGAGGCAAGAAGCCAATGGACGGACGAGATCCGAACGCCCGCCATCCGACGAAGGGCCGTCACATCAGATGTTGCCAAAGTCGGCTCACGAACAGGATTCATCACGAAAGTTGGGTAGAATCGTTGGCTATCAAAGTCTCCGTGCAACGGGCCCCACTAGACAGAAACAGTAGGCAGAGTGGCTCCGATTCTGGCCAGGGAACGCAACGTCGCCTGAGCAGGGTTCACCTCTTGAGACCACGGTCGACTCCAAAGGAGGAGTTCCTGGGCCGATCCCAAACAGGCCTCAAAAGAACACACACCAGCAGCGAGCAAATAACCGAGAGCGCCGTCTGCTTCGCCACCTCTACCGCATGGACCACCCATGGGTCACGACGGCTTCACCTTGGCGTGGCGGTAATGACGTCCCAAAGATCTCGGAGGGAAACAATTCGGAGCGATTGGAGGTTGTGCTCCGAGATGCCAGTGGTAGCTGGACCTCCACATCGCCATCGCCATCGGAGACCCCTTTTATAATCATGCTGGCACTGGCACCCGCTCCACGCAGCTGATTAACACATTCTGAAAGTATCTTGACCTTGGCACGCCGACGATACTGTTCCACAGCTGACCCGGGGCCGCCACTGTTGGCGTCGGTGCCTAGGCAGTGCCCAGCAGCGATCTTACGATCAGGTTGCAAATCCCAGCGGTCGCCCAGATCCTTGTTTGGGCCAGTGCTGCTGGTCATGTAACAACTTCTGTCCCAGCTCACTTGGGGGAGCTTCTTTTCTAGGTCAGTCACAAAGTCCATCATAGCCGTCGGAAGCTATTCCAGCACCTGGGCTCTGCCCCTGAGAGCTTGCAAGACAAACTGTCTAGTAGATTATACAAAATGACGCGAAGGTACCGAGCCTGCAATTTCCTGACAGTGTGTGGGCAAGCAATTTGGCAAGGGAGATGGCACCACCTTCGCTCGGCCTGGAGGATGTGCGGGTGCGGGCGCACATCACGCGGGATCCGCCGTGGTGCGTTTGGGCTTCGTGCCGTGCGCTGCAGCCGCCTCGGGACGGAGCCAGCCTCCCCTTCCTTTTCTCCTATTTTCTTCCTCCTCCTCCTCCTGCTCCTCCAGCTCCTCCTCCTCCTCCTCCTCCTCCTCCTCCTCCTCCTCCTCCTCCTCCTCCTCCTCCTCCTCCTCCTCCTCCTCCTCCTCCCCTCCCCCTCCCCCTCCGCCACCTCCTCCCCCGCAGCCGCCCCCCCCCCTGTACCCTCGCCGCCCGTTGCCCTCCCCACCTCTGGAGAGGCGGGCGGCGGGGATCTCGGCGGCGGCGTTCATCACGGCCCTGGCGTTCCTCTGCAAGGGCGGCAAGGGGGACTGGGCGCGCCGGCCCGGAGCCCGCGCGGCGCCCTTCCCGAGGGGTGCTCGTCGCACGCGCGCGCTCGCCACACGGCGCACGTTGCATGGCGCGCGCGTTCCGCCGTGGACGGAGCAGGAGAAGTGGGAGGAGACGGGGGAGCGAGGGCGGGGGGGAGGAGGAGGGGGAGGGGGCGGAGGAGGAGGAGGAGGAGGAGGAGGAGGAGGAGGAGGAGGGGGAGGGGGAGGAGGGGCAGAGGGAGGAGGAAGGGAGGATGGCGGGGATGGGCAGGAGGAGACGAAAAGGAGGAGGAGGAGGAGGTGGAGGAGGAGGAGGACCGGTGACGAGTGTCAACCCAAGGCGCATCAACGATGTTGCAATAAGCCCTCACGACACGTTCCCTCTTGATGGGTCTTTACAAGATGTTGCTCGTCGTGGGAAGCGCCCCCCATTTGAAGACAACCGTCTGAGAATCTTAAGCAGGCGGAGAAGGACAATGACTGCGCTCTGACTCGTGAGAGAATGTGAGGGCGAGAGGGAAGCGAAGGAGGACGAGACGGACTGTATAAGACAGCCGCCTGGAGTTCTGAGCTAAATGCGTGTGCCACGACCACCAAACAAGGAAGGTGTCAAAGTTATGGACGCAACGCTAGGTCTAGGGAGGACCATCCATTTCCAGGGGTCTGCCTGGGTTCGCGACGGGCGAGCTCCAGGGGGGGATGCGGAGAATGAGGGGGGAGGGGCGTCAGATGGAGGTCAAGGAGGAGGGCGAGGAGGAGGAAAAGGAGTAGGACCAGCAGCAGCAAGGTGGAAGGGGAGGAGGATATGGAGGAAATGAGGAGATGAGGAGGACGACGACGACGGGGAGGAGCAGGAGGAGGGAGGAGGAGGAGGAGGAGGAGGAGGAGGAGGAGGAGGAGGAGGAGGAGGAGGAGGAGGAGGAGGAGGAGGAGGAGGAGGAGGAGGAGGGGGGGGGGGGAAGCAGAGAGTGAGACGAAGGTGGACGCAAGGGCAGCGAAGAAGCAGGATCAGACGGAGGAGTAGGAGGAGGAGGAGGAGGAGGAGGGGAGGGAGGGGGAGAGGATGAGGGTTGGCGTGAGGAGGTGGGGGACGAGGGCAAGGGCGAGAAAAGGAGGAGCAGGAGGATCGATGAGTGGCGGGGCCGAGGAGCGTCGAGGATCGAGGATGCTGGACGTTCATTGCTTTTTTCTGGGGCCTTATGGGCCTTCTGAGGGTCACATATGGATCTCGAGGGGCACCAAGAGTAGAAGGACGAGGGGAGGAGGAGGGGTAGGGAGAGGAGGAGGGAAGAAGGAGGGGTAGGTGGATGAGGAAATGAAGGATGATGAGGAGGAGGAGGAGGAGGAGGAGGAGGAAGAGAACGAGAACGAAAACAAAGACGAAGAGGAGTACGGGCATTCATTTTCAACTGGTGCTGCGACTTCTACGACAGGGCGGAACTCCGTGGCGATCTTGGGAGCATCAGGAAACGCATCCTGCTTCTGTTCGCCCTCGGCCTCACATCGTCCCCCTCCTCATCATTGGACCTTCTCCTCGGCCTCATCCTCCGCCCTCCTCCTCCTCCTCCTCCTCCTCCTCCTCCTCCTCCTCCTCCTCGGTCTCCTCCGTGCGCTGTGCCTCCTCCTTCTCCTCCTCCTGGGATCTCCTGGGCACTGTCCGGCACAAGCACGCGTCTGCCTGCACACACACACACACACACACTGGTGCCGGTGGGTGGCGCAGCCCTTGGACGGGCGCGTGCCGCCTGCGCCACCGCCCATCGCACGCGTCCCCCTCGGAAGAACAGCAGCTCGCGGCGCGCGAGGCGCCACAAGCGACCAGGCTGAGAAGCACACGCGAGCTGCCACGTGGCCGAGCTGGTCTCGCCAGCCCCGGCGAGGTCGGGAGTCCCGAAGGACTGCTCGAGAAGCCTCCGAGCCTTACCACATGAACAGCGCGCGTGAGTGCGACCACTGTTAGACAACACTCTGGCGCTACGAAGGGCGGACCAGGAGGGGGTCCAGTACATTCGGCCTGACGAGTTGTCAGCACGCCCCCCCCCGCCCCTCCCAAGCCCACGGACCGCACAAACGACACACTCAGCCGCCAGCGCGCTTGAACGGGTGCATGGTGCGCTGTCTCCTTCCAGCAGGCTGTATTCTGATAGTGGCAATATCGACCTGCTCGATCGCTCTGAGCGTGCTGATGGGAGGAGGAGGAGGAGGAGGAGGAGGAAGGACAACGAGCGAGGGTACACGATCCTTCGGCACACGCATCCTGACAGGCGCATGCTGCGCATCGAGATCGGCCAGCCTGCAACCGACTTTAGAACACCAAGCAGCAAGCTACTTGAGAATCTGAGCTTTCTGCTTTCGAGCGTCTCTGGGTACCTCTGGGATAAGACCGCGGCCCGCAGACCACTTGGCACAGCTGCCAGCCTCATCAGCCCCGAGCTTGGGAAACCCCGATGTCAAACTAGACTGCACCCGAGCGCGAGTGGGGTCGGCCCTCCCCTTGACCAACGTGAAACCAGACACTCCACCCCAGTCATCACAAATCTTTGCCCGCGCCACTCCCCACATCTCCGACCATGCACTTCTGCTGTTATAGCAGTGCTTCCGCCTCTGACCATGACCCCAGCAACACACAAAGTTAGAACGTGGTGCCAGGGTGGCTATGCTGCAGCGCTCTGAGAAACGCAGTGGGCTCTGCAGCGTCGATGCTCACAATGGGTGCTGCACAACTCTGCGCACGAGAGAACGCACCCGACACCTGCGAGGAAAAACGCGACTACGCATGGCCTATCCTGCCGCCTGTGACTTGTGCTGGCAGGCGCTCGTCCATCCGCGAGCCGCTGGGAAGGCTCTTTCGCTTCCGCGGACCTAGTTGCGAGCCAACGACCAGGCACTCGACCAGAGGTTGGGAGAGGCGCACCAGGCACAAGCAGCTTCTCAGCAAAGAGGCGAGCAAACGGAGAGAGACGTTGGCGCGAGCGAGGGGATCTATGCAGGTTGGTATCGTGCCGCCTGCCATGAAGTTTTCCCGCGTGCCGCACGAAGGATGCACATGTTGCAACGCACCAGGCGCACTGCGACAAGCTCGGCATGACGCCATGTTGCCGAGGCCACATGCCCACTGGTCTCTGCTGGCGCCACTGCCCGCCCCCCCCCCTGGAACGACCGCCTTGAGATACCCCGTCTCCGCGGGGGAGAGGCCTCGGGCCAGCAACAATCTCCACGAGAGGGGCGGTGCTACATCCCGAGGTAAGCTCGGGCATGGCCCCTCTGCTGGCCATCTCGGCCCAGGGCCAAACATCGACTGATCGTGCGAGGCCCTAGCAATTGGGCAGAGACCTCTCCGAGGGCAGACCGCCTCCAGAAGAAACCTTGGATAGTGATGCCAAGGCGGAGCGCCGCAGCAAAACACGCGGAGTGGGGACCACAGACGCTGCCCTGGGGATTGCCACTGCTTTGGGTCCGCTCGCACGCATCGAAAATACCCCGCTCAGGAACCGTGCTCAGCCAGGGGTCCCAGACCGCGGAGGCATGCATGTACGGCACAGAGGCCCAAATGTGCAGCGTGAATGCCGGATCGCGCCTCGGAGCTTCGGCAAGCACCCCCAGCAGCGTGACATTGCGCCCAGACAGATTCTGAGCCTGCACATGCGCTTGGAGCGCTCGCGCGGTACGCAATTGAGTGCAGTGTGCTGTACAAGTTGCCCCCCCCCCCCCCCCATATTTGAGGAAGGCCAAGCAGACAGGTTGCATCTTGTGCTGGAGGTGTCCCTGTCTCACCACCCTGGCAAACCGCTGCAAATTGCGGGCCCTGGCCACGGCGGGACCCCTCCTAGCTTTGCGAGTGTCCCTAGGACAAGGGCGAGCCGCAGAAGCATTGAATCCTGCAGTTCGCTCGTTCGATACCCCTTCCGAATTGAATATTCGGGCGCGCCTCACAAACCGATTACGAAGGATTTTGGACGAATCATCAGCACGACCCTTCTCACGATGTAAGACCAAGTGCGCCCTTCTTAATTTGGAATGAAGTAAGCCCGTGGCCCCTATTAGTTTATCCTCGAATGCAGACCCCTGTTCCAACGCACTGCAAGCCAACACTATCTACCACCAGTCCGAAGCTGGTCCTGGGATAGAGTGTTCTCACAGCGTCAACAGGCTGGAGCAGAATCAGCTGCAGCACCAGAGTGGCATCATGGCATCCTGGGAGCACTGCTCATCTAGCGTCTAGCAGGACAGACGGCATCGCTGTAGCTCAAAACGCGGGGCATGCGCTAGAGCCCGACAGGCAGCTTCAGCTGGCGAGCGGGAGAACTGACATGCGAGCGGCCGAGACGAGCTCCGAGCGACGAGCATGCCCGAAGGCCTTCTAGAGAGCCAGGGGCATGCGACCACCAGCAGGCCCTTCGCTGAGGCCCACGCGCTCCACGCAACCCGAACCCGAACAAGCTTGCCACTGCATCGGCCAGTGGCTGGCCACCAATAGGGTCTGTCGTTGGTCTCTTGCCAGGTCTTGATGCGAGGCCTACGCAGCCTACCCTGCATTCTCGCCAGCGCATGGATGAGGGCTATCGGTCTGAGCACCCCCTCGCGCTTGTTAAGAAATACAGCCTGCCTTCATAACCTGGGCCAGCAATCATGCGCTTGGATGTCTTCTATGGGGTTCAACAATAAGGCGTTTAGACCTTCTCATCATAGATGCGCAGCAGCAGTCGGGGGGGGCAGCTGAACAACACCACAGCCTGACTTGCTGGGGAAACTGCGAGTGCAATCCTTGAAAGACTCCAGCGTGGGCCTGGGGGAAGAGTGCCTAAGGTCGCTGGGCCAAGAGAGGGAGTCCTCAAGCACCCCAACACGCATCCAGCTCCCCCACTCTCCTGGTGAAGGGTTGCTGGCTGCATCTTGGTGGCTGGCCCTTCTCAAAGCGCGCCAGGATG